TTTCCACTTGCATACATAGGGAATAATAACTGTGAGTTGTTCTCCTAGAATTGTTGAGAAGCCAAATCACGTAGCACTAGCTTAGTTAGGAGACATGGTATGAAATCCAAATCTTGCTTTGCCTTGACTATCCCTAATACAAGAGCCTCCTTGACAATATCCGTAAGAAAGTGGTCTGAACCTAGATGGAAATGTCCCTTCTGTCCAGTCCCTCTGCTAGCACCACGGACAGTTCTGACATCTTTTTCATATTGGGCTGAAATCTGTCTATCAGTAATGTCTCTACGTCTTAATTTTGCCTCCTGGAGCCACTCAGAACAAATCTGCTCTGCATTTCACATGACAGTCCTTACGGATAGATTATTTCAGGGAGTGTTGCTGTCTCATCTGCTGTTCTCACCTCTTACTGATAGTTGCAGCCAAACCTTTGAAGTTCAAGTCTTGCTTGTCTTCTTCCTTCCTCAGTTGTCATCAGCTCCCTCTGTTATTCAGAGGAGATGGAGAGTTGGAGACTCTGTTTTATTAAGCTCCCAAGAATATGGTCCTCAGGAAGGTCTTTTGAGGACACACACAGAATCTTGTCTTGGTTTTTATGATTCTGCCAACTCCAACGGGGACATTTCTGCTTAGAGAGAGACTACATTCCTTTATTCTTCCTCAAAGATACTTTGATAACAAATGACATCATACCCATAATTAATCTTTGGCTTTGTTGGAGAGTCTATGATTATATTGGGGTGATGAGGACTTAGGGACTAGACTACCTGAACCTTACTGATAGTCTCCATTTATTAGCAGTATGACCTTAGTAAATTTCTGTTTGCTTTGAAGGTGACTTCTGCAGCTTTTAACAGGTGACAGAAGTGAAGCCAAACAGAAGTGGACAGGATAGACAAACACTAAATGACCCAGATTAATGAGATTTAGTGTTTTATTTTGGGGGGGGGCAGGGGAGAGAGAGTGAGCAAGGATGATTCAAAATCTACTGGAACACTAGTATGTTAGATAGGGAGGTGGAACCTGCAATGAAAATAGAGGAACAGCAATGAAGGTAGGAGGAAAACCAGGGGATCTTGGCATCCTGAGAGTTCAAAAGGATTTCAGGCTAGGGGTGTGGTCTTCACCACTGTTGAGGTTTCAAGTAATATGAAGACCAAACAGTGTTCTTGGACTTCAGCCATACGGAGGTCACCTGGTGATCATAGAGGTTTTTTAAAGCCCTAGATGGGGGTGGAAGCTACAGCGGAATGAGTTGAGGAATAAGTGGGAGGGGAGCATATGGAGACTGCATGGATAGATAACTTTCTGGAGGACTTTGGGTGTGAGGAGGAGGGAGGGAGCTATAACTGCAGGAAATGTAGAGTGGAAGGAAGATATTTTTAAGGTGGGGAAGGCTTAAACCTTTTAAAGCATTTTTAGGGAGATGTGATTGAGAGAAGTGGGTTGACTCCATAAAAGAGAGATGGACTAACTGAAACACTGAAAAGACCAAGGGAGAGATCTGGAATGTGGGAGGAAGCGCTGATCTTGGCAGAGAAGGACACTGCCTTGAATGTCACATCAGGGATATTTGTGTTGCTGTGGAAACCACACTCTAATTCACCTGGCCAACTGCTATTTCTCCTTCCCTCACCCCAGCCCACAAAATCTAGACACCTTTTATCTAGATCTTAATTCTCAGTAGCCTGAAGTCCATAGTGTGTGTGTGTGTGTGTGTGTGTGTGTGCATGCATGTGTGTGTGTGTGAGGGAGAGAGAGAAAGAGAGAGATAGAGAGATAGAGAGAGAGAGAGAGAGGGGGAGGGGGAGCAAGAGGGAGGAAAGAGAATTTCCCAGGACCTTCTAGGCACCTCCTAAGTGATTGGAATAACTCTAACTGCCACTGTCCTCACAGTGTGTGGGCAGGTGAGGTGCTCATGCCCAAGGCTCCTTGCATGCTCACTCCTTTTCAGTGTCCATTCTTACCTGACTTCCCAAACTTGCATCTTGCTGACCCACAGTTAATTCTTCCTCTCCTGAGATCAACTGGATCATCCACAAGTGGAGGGTATGTTAGTTTGCATTTCCCTCAGTCTGGTTCAGACTTCTCTGTGTCTGGGTCTAGAATGAACCAGCATTCTCTAGTGGTCTTGGCCAAATGTATTTTTCTTATAAATGAAGTTACTGTCCCTATTTGCCTGGTTTACAGAGCAGCCAAAGGAGTCCATCTGCTTTACCCATTCTAAGTGTCTTGCATGTTAAGATGTGTGACTAAATTCTGTATGTGCTAGTAAAATGCCGACCATGTGAAAAAAGATTCAAGTGTCACATTTCAAAAAAATTCCAAGAAACAATGATTAGAAGTACCCATTAACTAACAACTTTAATATGCTCATATATGTTTATGGATAAGTATCTTTCTAAAGGCCTTAAGACAGAACGATAGACATTTTTCAAAGCACTGAGAAAAAGCAAGTTAATAAGATTCTCTTCCCATGGTACACTACACTCATCCAACTCAGTGATGATGAAATGCACACTGACAAGAGCAATAAGAAAAATAATAACATTATCACTGGATCAATGTCTATTGCTGGCTTCATAAATAAAGGACTTGGCTTCCCATTGATGTTTAATTTTTGTAAATGCCTCTGGAAATTTAAGTAGCAGTAGGAAAACATTATCCTGAGATAATGTTCAATTTCTCCTAACATAAGCTCTTAAACCTTGGACGTGTACAGTTTTTCAGTCTGGGACAAATTCAGGAGAGCAAATCTCTTTGGAGCAGACTGTGATAGATTTGTTTTAAATAGACAGGCTTTAGTGCTAAAGGGTTAGGGGACAGGAGGAGTAGAAGGTGATTAGAACAACAGAGACCAGAGAAATCCTGGGAGTCTTCTTTTTTTGTGGCTTGTTTGAGTGTCCATCAGCCAATTAGACACTCTTTCTCCTCTCTCCATGTTACCCTGCCAGTGCTGCAGCATGTGGTGAATTTGCAAGCAGTTGGGGACATGTATGGAAGCTCCAAAGAGATGACCTATGCTGCAGGATGCTGGGATAGCCTAGCATTTTGTTACTCCTTGCAGTACCTCAACTACTCTGGCATGACTCAGATCCCTGGGGTTGTATAATCAGCACCAGGTTTGAATAATGAACTCCTGCTAGCTCGACCCTAGGAAAAGCATTAGAGTACTTTGGAGCCAAAGAACCATAGATAGTAAAGCCAAAAGGAAGCTTCCTCAAAAGATCCTTTTAAACTAAGATTCTTCAGCCTTCAGGCAGGTAAGGCCCCCATTCTTCAGAAGAAATTCTGAAGATCCAGCTAATTAGAATAGAGGGTAGGAAAGTGATGTCTAAGTCTTTTGCTCTTAGGTCATCCCCCGGCCTCCACCAAGACTTATTGCTATGACATCATGGTGAGGATTCTGAGAATGGTCACAACTCCGTGTGCTGGTGACCATAACTCCAGTGCTTCTCAGGCTTCAATTTTCATGGAACCCAATGGAGTTTGTTAGAACAGATCGCACACTCGCTGAATCTGCAAGTCTGGGGCTGGGGCCCAGGAATTTGCATTATAACAAATTCCTAGGTCTCTCTGGGAGACGATACTTTGAGAGTCATTGCATTAGACTTCTTCTTGGTTTTATGACCCAGAAGCTGGACTGTCTTAAGCAAACAAGTCAATCAGCAACCAGTGGACTCAAAGGGGGGCCGAACCACCCAAAGAAAACTCACTTCTCTAGAGGAGACTTTTCCCAGCTGCACAGGTACTTCACTGAGTAAGAGTAAGCTGTACCCTCTCCATGACCTCAGGGCCCAGTTCTAACTACTGAAAAGCCTCGTGGGCTTGGAAAGTCACAGGGATTCCTCACATATCCTGGCCTCTGACCTCCAATCTTTGAAAACTTGAGAGAAGAACTGTCACCTTCCTGGGAATCTGAAATAGAAAGGCAAATCTGTGAAGGCCTTTTTGACGTCTGAACAGTGGGATTTTAACTAACTGTGGTGATCACTCAGCGTCATGTGGACCTGACAGTGAAGAATGATGCAGGATTCCACTAAAATTCCATCAAAGCCTGCGGGGTGGGGACCTCAGTCACTGAGCCCAGTGCCCTCTGGCCCCTTCTGTCAAGGCATCAGTGGTACAGGGAGACATTTGAAAAGCTGACAGACAGCAGGAAGGGAGGTGGAGGGAGAGGAGTATCCAGGTGGGCGGGAAAGCTCTGGTGTTTGCCAGACTGAGGCAGTGATGAAGGCAAGGGAGTTGGGGGAGGGGGTGGAGAATGGGGGCAGTTTTTTTAGTCTGAAGAGTTCTGAACTCCATGCACCCTCCCTTCTTTTTTTATTTTTTATTTTATTTTTTTACATCATTGTTCATTTTTAAACAATATGTGCTTCCTCCCACCCACTCACGTGTAGTCCCCATAGAGTTTCCTTCATCAATGCACCTGTGCACCATCACCTCAGTCCCCTGAGCTCCTCCCCTCTTACCCGACACAGATGTCTGGTGAGAAAGTCCACTTGCCTCGGAATGCAGTTTAAACCCTACCTGAGTCACAGCAGTGCCAACATCTAGGACCTTCACAGGGCTAAATGTTCTAAATATTCTTGCTTGCAGTATGTCTTATTTATAAGTAGGGAAACTCCAGACATTCTCAAGTCATTGCATTTTCCTGTCCATTTCTAGACTGTAGCCTTTCTAAACATGTTTTTCTTTCCCTTTATCTTAATTGCTTCCACCTTTCCCTATTTTTCCCCCATTTTTTTTCACCCTGGTTCTCTCTTCTTTGTCCCTCTGAGGAATTCAGCTTTCTGCTCCTCCTCTCACATTTCATTCCCATCTTGGGCTATTAAGAGCAAACTATGCAGGTGATTTTGAAGCATGAGGCCTCATTCTGAGTCTCTCCTCCCCATGCAACTGGTTCCAAGGAACGTGAGACCCTTTTATTCCTAGTTTACTATATGTAGATGCTACTGAAATATGACATTCACACAGAAAACTCACAAATCATACCTTTTCAGGTAGCTGGATTTTCAGAGTGGATACATGGAGTGAGTGACCAGTACCCAGATTTAGAAACCTAACATGATCGGTGCCTCAAAATCCCCCGGCCTCCACTAAGACTTATTGCCATGACGTCATGGTGAGGATTCTGAGAATGGTCACAACTCCGGGCGCTGGTGAGATGTTTCTCTGGATGACTGGACTAGCCAGTGGTAGCCCACAGGAGTTCCATCAACGGGTCCTACCCTCTGGGGCTGCTCCCGGTACCAGAGCAAGAGGCCACTGCATTGTTCCATAAACTCTGCATGGGGTTGTGAGCTGTGCAGACCCAGCCATTTTTCCAGGTTCTCCTCTTTGCTCTGCTTGAGGATATGGAAGAAGAGTGTTGAGGTGCAGTCATGAGTGCCGAATCAGCAAAGAGCCACACATGCCAGCCCACAGCGCTCTCTTCCTGCGTTCTGGGAAGGTGAGTGTAAGGAAGCAGTCCTGTTGATTGACCTTTTAATATGAGATTATGGTTAACCATTTTATATCATCTTAGCACTTTGTGGACACTGTATTTAATCCTCTCAGTATCTTAGAGGGAACCATTTCCATTTTAAAGGTGAGAGGATTGAGGTGAAGAGGTTGACTTTAAAGTATCACGGGATATAAGTAGCAGACTGTGGGGTGATACATGAATCATGGGCAGGTGAAGGGGAAGCAGGAGAAATGAGACCTGGTAAATCCCAAAGTGAAGCCAGATGTGTTTCTGGAAAGACAGGCGTTTCCTCTCAGGCAGGTGTGTGGACGTGATCTTAGACTTCTGAATAGTAGCACAGCTGCCTTTTTAGGACTTTCTGATTGTCATACCATTTCAGGGTCAGGCTGGCAAAATTCTGAGACATTTCTTCATGTAGAAACCATCTGTGCTGTACCAAGGTCAATGTTGTCGGTCAATGGGAAAATCGTGCCCCATGCCCGTACTCTGATGGTCAGGGGTGTGGACATGGCTCCCCTTAACGTCTCCTGAGACAAGGAGAAACCTAAGATTCCCTACCTTCCTGCTCCACTGAACACACAGAACTCAATTGAAAGGCCATAACACATTTAAGTGTCTGAAATTAAATCTGGAGTCGAAGCAGCAGCATCTTATTACTTTTAATCAGTGCAGTGCATGAAAGTCCCTTTGGAGAAATCATTATTTTACCTCTCCACGTGGAAGGCAGAACTGCCTCCCTACTTCCTCTAGTGCCTGAAAAATGACCAGGAGTCTTTTCCCTGCCTGTCTATCAGACTTGGGGCTGCCTTCAACTTCTGCCATGGGCAGGGGTCAGACTTAATTCAAAGGTCTGCTTCTTTCAGGTCCCACTTTCCACTGGCTCTCAGCTGTACTTTTCTTAATAAAGGGACAAGAGGCTGAGGGATTAGTAGCTATAGTTACCATTTATTAAGCACTTTCTTTATCAGTTAAGGTTTTTAATAGCAAACAATCAAAACTGGTTTGAGCAGACTTTTAATTTATTAAAGGATATCAGGTTGTGCACCAAATCTCCAGCAAGGCTAAAGAATAGTTTGGAAGCTGTGCATCTAGGAAACATGCCCAAAATGTCACTGCTGATTTGGAGGTACCAGGACATGACAGCTGCCACATCTTGGGCACAGCACCGCAGCTTGCACTGCTAATGCTGAACACTGGAAGGATATTTAATTTTCACTGCAACAACAATGAAAGGTAAATATTATTATCTTCATTTTACAGATGTGGTAACACATCTTCATTTTACAGATGTGATAAAGTCCAGAGATGTCAGGTACTTGCTCCCAAAGTTAGTCAAAAACTTTCAAGTTTAACAAGGGTGGGGACTGTATTGATTTTGCTTATCATTGTAAACTTAGTGCCTAGTCCAGGATCCAGTTCATAGTAGACTATGTACTTATGGAATGAATACATAGAGAAAGTGGTGGACATGGGTGTGACTGTTGTGTTTATGTTTGTGCCACTTTAACACTATGTATCCTCTTCCCACTTCCTTTGATACCATAGCCTGTGCTTCTGAAAAGAGGGTTGAGCAAATGACTCAGACATAATAGTGTATCCTTCTGGCCATGGTGATTCGGTCCTTAGTTAGAAGGATTTGAGTCCAGCCAGATAGTCCAATATATGGAGCGAGACTAACTGCAATATGAAAGAATAAAGTTAATATGCCAAAGAAGCCAAGACAGGATTTAGGATTCAATTTTCCTGCATATTATTAATATTGACTCATTTGTAAACTAGCACTAGTGCTGCAGTCTCGAAAGACAGGTTGAGAGGGGTGACTTGTCTCAGGAAAGGGATCCTATTTTGGATGTCAGCTCCAAAGCAAATAGGTATATGTGGTTCAAGAAATATTCTGCGAGTGGGTCAAAATATGTCTTCTCAAGCCTTTTCCTCTCTCCTTGGCAAGTCTCCATGCATCTGAACTTATCTATATTTGGACTATTTTATTTTTTTTAACCTGTAATTTCTCTACCTCCAAAGCCTGACTCAATGAATATCTCTGGGATCTGTTTGTTGGGCCTAAGGATGTGATAGTAATGGTGACTATTGGAAAGCAGACTTCAGAGTGGATAGTGCGTGTTCTGGTGGCCACACCGGGCTTCCGGGCTGGTTATCACCCACAGCCCTTCTGCTGAAAGCATCTATTATGTAAGGTTCTTATGTGAATAGGAACAGCACTCCTTCAGGCTGGCTTTAGTAATGGCAGCTCCTACCAGAACACAGTCACAGCATGGGGCTTTGTGGATACTGGATTGTAATTTGGGGCTTAGAGTCTGCTCTAGCCAAGTGACTCTTGCTTCACTCATCTTGGTACATTCTTGTGGGAACAGGGCATCCTCATTATAGCACTCAGTTACCCTCCCTATGTTCTACAACAGCCAACACTGACAGCATGGCCTCTGCCTCTTACTTCCATGGACCATTGGCTGGCCCAGAGATTAGCTTCTTAAGAACTGGTATCATTCCTGATTCAATCAGTTCTTATAATGGGGCCAAAGTCATGTGGTCTCTGAGTATGATGACTTATTTGCTGAGTAGAACTTCAGGTTAAAGGAAAACAGTCTAAATTGGAATGGTGCCTCGTGAATGACTTATTTATTCTACTCCAAAAATCAAATTGGGTTACTGTGTAGAAAGCTCTGAGATTCATGAGTGCAGCAGGTACTTGTCATGCACCCAGTCATGTCCTCTCAATGCTTCTCACCTCCTCCATTCTTGCAGATCTTATTATTTCTCACAAGCTGCTCAGTATTTCTAACATGGCTGCTGTGTGGCTTCAGGGATCTCTCTAAAACCAAGAGAAACTTGCAGGTACAACCAGAGTAGGGGAAACACTAACAGCCCACTTCCCCAGAACAACCTTTAGCCAATTGGGGAAAACAAGCAGTGGATGAGTCCGTTGGCCTCCCTGTCCTTGGAGATGTCAGATATATTCTACCTGGTCCTTAAAACGATGCAACAACACACTGAACCCTACCTGCCCACGTAGATAACCAGCAATTACTGTACGCTTTATTGGCTTTTCTCCCTTCCTGATTCACTCCCTTACTTTTGACTCTTGGGACTCCCTCTTACATTAATCGCTTGTGCTCAAATTTTTACCTCAAGCTTTCGTATTATGAAACCAATTCTCTGGTACCGACTTGTTGTCCTACAATTTAACTACCTGGGATTAGGGCAGACCCAACAGGTTCCAGGAACAATCCTTCACAATATTCTCTCTCGTCAGCTCCACCTGGAAACCTTGAAGATCATCTATACTCTTTATAAATGACCAAACAGGATCTTTCACTCACGTCCAGAAAGCCAAACTCTGAATCATGAGAATTGTCTTTCCTCAAAGGAGTTTTATTGGAGAGGCCATCAAGAGAGTGAGCAGGATGGGTAACCCAAAACAACCAGCAGGCGTGCTGGAATTTTATAAGGGGAGAAGGAATTGGGGGAAGTTAGGGATTCACATTTCCAGGTATGAGAGGTTCCGGGCAGCCTAGGCGACAGGCATCCAGGTGTGTGACTCCCCCAGAAGGGTGTCTTCTCAGAAGTTTGTTACTGATGCCACCATCAACTCAGAGAGACAGAGAATTTTATTAGGCATTTGATGCAATGAATTTTCCCAGTTTCCAGGAATGCAGGTGAATCCAGTTAACAGTTAATCATAAGGTTGGAAGAGGGGGTGCAATTCAATAAGTTACCGGTTAATCCTAGAGAGGGAATGTTATTAGTGAGTTAATAGTTTTGAAGAAGGAATGCACAAGGGTGGTTAGAGTTTAATTCTGTTTTTTTCCTAATTTTTGTCTAGGGCTGGTATTCTCTGTTATAAAATGGCAGGGATCCAGCTACATTTTGACTCAATGACTATCATCAATTCAGAGACTTCTTGACTCCCTCAGTTTTGATAATTTGCTAGAACAAATCATAGAATTAACCAATAGTGCTACATTTGCTATTACAGTTTTCTTATGAAAGCTACAAATTAGGAGCAGACAAATGGAAGAGATGGAAAGGTATGGTACAGAACTTCCCTGCCAGCTTCTTATGGGATCTGTATATTACTTATCCTGCACATCAATGTATTCAACCAGGAAACCTTATTGAATCTTGATATCCAAAGTTTTTTTGGGGGTTTCTTTACATAGGCATAATTGATTAATTCATTTTCCATATTGTTAAACTTCCTCGCTTTCCTTAGAAGTATGGCTGGCCCAGAGCTGCAACCTTTGAATTACATGATTAGTCTTTCTGTCTTTCTTCCAGCTCTAATCCTAAAGTTATGGTGGAGCCTCAGACTTGAGTCACCACATTACCATAACAAAAACACTCCTATCCCTCAGGAAGTTCCAAGGGTTTTGAACCTTTGTGTCAGAAACTGGAGACAAAGACCAGACACATTCATTATATCATAGCTGTGTTTGGGGGTAATTAAGAGTAAAACAAAAGTTTTTATACAGTCACCTATGGAAAAGCACTTTGTTGCCAGGTTTCAAACTTCTCTCTTGGGGTGAGGGAGAGGAAGTCATAGT